CTCACTACTCACACACACGCACACACACACTAATCACACACACGCGCACAGACACACACTACTCACTACTCACACACGCGCACACTGACACACACTACTCACTACTCACACACACGCACACACACACTAATCACACACACGCGCACAGACACACACTACTCACTACTCACACACACGCACACACACACACACACACTACTCACTACTCACACACACGCACACAGACACACACTACTCACACACACATGCACACACACACACTACTCACTACTCACACACACGCACACACACACACACTACTCACACACACGCACACACTACTCACTACTCACTACTCACACACACGCACACAGACACACTACTCACTACTCACACACATGCACACACACACACTACTCACTACTCACACACACGCACACACACACACACTACTCACACACACGCACACAGACACACTACTCACGACTCACAGACACACACACACTTCTTATGACTCACACTTCTTATGACTCACACACACACACACTTCTTATGACTCACACACACACACTTCTCGTGACTCACACTCTCCTTGTGCTTGTACTGGATCATGTGTGTTAAACTGTGCTGTGTTAGACGTGTGTAAAGTGTGTCAGTTGTTCGTCTGTTTGAATTAAAGCGTTTTCCAAATGAATAAACGAGAATATAAACGTGGGCCTGAACGTTACTCACTGCAGGATTTACACACATTACAGAACTAAACACTCCAGTGTACTTCTGCAGTGAGTGTGTCTGCAGTGAAACAGCAGAACCAAATCACACACACACACACACACTGAACACTTCCTGTTTCTGCATTTCCTCCTTCAGCTCTATTAGGATCTGTGTGTGTGTGTGTGTGTGTGTGTGTAGTGTGTGTTTGTGTGTGTGTGTGTGTGTGTGTGTGTGTGTGTGCTGAAGGCTGATAACAGAGCGGATGCAGCAGGAACAATCAGCAGCCTCAGGAACTCTTACAGCTCCTACAGGACAGAGGGAGTGACCCTCATTACATCACTCATTACATCACTCACTGACCAATCACTGACCACTCAGGCTCACAGGGCTGTTTGTGTTGGTTTTGTTTTGAATCTGTATCTGATGTTGACGCTGACTGATGAGTTTTATCGTGAAGTCTCTCAGCACTGAAACTGATACAGCTTTGATTCTCAATGATTATATTTTTATAATCAGTGAAAACAGGAGAACACACACACACACACACACACACACACACACACACACACACACAAATACACACACACAAACACACGCACACACACACACACACACACACAAACACACACACACAAATACACACACACAAACACACACACACACACAAACACACACACACACACACAAACACACACACACACACACACACAAACACACACATACACACACAAACGCACATACAAACACACACACACACACACACACACAAACACACACAAACACACACACACACACACAAACGCACATACAAACACACACACACACACAAACGCACACACACACACACAAACGCACACAAACACACATACAAACACACACACACAAACGCACACAAACACACACACACACACACACAAACACTCGCAAACACACACAGACACACAAACGCACACAAACACACACAAACACACACACAAACACACACAAACACACACTACACACACACACACTACACACACACACACATGCACAAACACACACACACACACACACTACACACACACACACACACACTACACACACAAACACTACACACACGCTACACACACACACACACACACTACAAACACACTACAAACCACACACACGCACAAATACTACACACACACACTGTTTAGTTATGCTGTTTAGTGTTACACTGTATTGTTACACTGTACTGTGCTATGCTTTTCTGTGTTGCACTGTACTCTTTTACACTGTACTGTGTCACATTATACAGTATTATGCTGTTCTTTGCTATGCTGTACTGTATATAGTGTTCTGTGCTACACTATACTGTTACACTGTACTGTAGTATGCTGTACTGTATGGTGCTGTACTGTATTACACTGTACTTTATTATGCTGCACTGTATTGTGCTGCACTGTATTGTGCTGTATTATGCTGTGCTGTACTGTTACACTGTACTGTATTGTGCTGTACTATGTTGTGCTCTACTGTTACACTGCACTGTATTGTGCTGTATTGTGTTGTGCTGTACTATGTGGTGCTGTACTGTACTGTGTTGTGCTGTACTGTATTGTGCTGTACTGTATTATGCTGCACTGTATTGTGCTGTATTGTGTTGTGCTGTACTATTTGGTGCTGTACTGTATTGTGCTGTACTGTATTATGCTTCACTGTGTTGTGCTGTACTATGTGGTGCTGTACTGTATTATGCTGTATTGTGTTGTGCTGTATTGTGTTGTGCTGTACTGTATTGTGCTGCACTGTATTAAGCTGTACTGTATTATGCTGTATTGTGTTGTGCTGTAATGTATTGTGCTGTACTGTGTTGTGCTGTACTGTATTATGCTGTACTGTGTTGTGTTGTGCTGTACTGTATTGTGCTTTACTGTATTATGCTGTACTGTATTATGCTGTACTGTGTTGTGCTGTATTGTGTTGTGCTGTACTGTGTTGTGCTGTACTGTATTGTGCTGTACTGTATTATGCTGTACTGTGTTGTACTGTATTGTGTTGTGCTGTACTGTATTGTGCTGTACTGTATTGTGCTGTATTGTGTTGTGCTGTACTGTATTATGCTGTATTGTGTTGTGCTGTACTGTATTATGCTGTACTGTATTATGCTGTATTGTGTTGTGCTGTACTGTATTATGCTGTACTGTATTATGAAGTATTGTGTTGTGCTGTACTTTATTATGCTGTACTGTATTATGCTGTATTGTGTTGTGCTGTACTGTATTGTGCTGTATTGTGTTGTGCTGTACTGTATTGTGCTGTATTGTGTTGTGCTGTACTGTATTATGCTGTATTGTGTTGTGCTGTACTGTATTATGCTGTACTGTATTATGCTGTATTGTGTTGTGCTGTACTGTATTGTGCTGTATTGTGTTGTGCTGTACTGTATTATGCTGTACTGTATTATGCTGTATTGTGTTGTGTTGTACTGTATTGTGCTGCACTGTATTATGCTGTACTGTATTATGCTGTACTGTGTTGTGCTGCACTGTATTATGCTGTATCATGTTGTGCTGTATTGTGTTGTGCTGTACTGTATTATGCTGTATTGTGTTGTGCTGTACTGTATTGTGCTGATTGTGTGTGCTGTCTGTGTGTGCTGTACTGTATTATGCTGTATTGTGTTGTGCTGTACTGTATTATGCTGTATTGTGTTGTGCTGTACTGTATTGTGCTGTATTGTGTTGTGCTGTCTTGTGTTGTGCTGTATTGTGCTGTGCTGTACTGTGTTGTGCTGTCTTGTGTTGTGCTGTACTGTATTATGCTGTACTGTATTATGCTGTCTTGTGTTGTGCTGTATTGTGCTGTGCTGTACTGTGTTGTGCTGTACTGTGTTGTGCTGTATTGTGCTGTGCTGTCTTGTGTTGTGCTGTATTGTGTTGTGCTGTACTGAATTATGCTGTACTGTATTGTGCTGTACTGTGTTGTGCTGTACTGAATTATGCTGTATTGTGTTGTGCTGTACTGTGTTGTGCTGTACTGAATTATGCTGTATTGTGTTGTGCTGTATTGTGTTGTGCTGTACTGAATTATGCTGTACTGTATTGTGCTGTACTGTGTTGTGCTGTACTGAATTATGCTGTATTGTGTTGTGCTGTACTGTGTTGTGCTGTACTGAATTATGCTGTATTGTGTTGTGCTGTATTGTGTTGTGCTGTACTGAATTATGCTGTACTGTATTGTGCTGTACTGTGTTGTGCTGTACTGAATTATGCTGTATTGTGTTGTGCTGTATTGTGTTATGCTGTACTGTATTATGCTGTGCTGTATTGTGTTGTGCTGTACTGAATTATGCTGTATTGTGTTGTGCTGTATTGTGTTATGCTGTACTGTATTATGCTGTGCTGTATTGTGTTGTGCTGTACTGAATTATGCTGTATTGTGTTGTGCTGTACTGTGTTGTACTGTATTGTGTTGTGCTGTATTGTGTTGTGCTGTACTGTATTATGCTGTACTGTATTATGCTGCGCTGTATTGTGTTGTACTGTACTGTATTATGCTGCGCTGTACTGTGTTGTGCTGTATTGTATTGTATTGTACTCTACTGTATTATGCTGTGCTGTACTGTGTTGTGCTGTATTGTATTGTATTGTACTCTACTGTATTATGCTGCGCTGTACTGTGTTGTGCTGTATTGTGTTGTGCTGTATTGTGTTGTGCTGTACTGTATTATGCTGTACTGTATTATGCTGTGCTGTACTGTGTTGTGCTGTATTGTGCTGTGCTGTACTGTATTATGCTGCACTGTATTGTGTTGTACTGCATTGTGTTGTGCTGTCTTGTGTTGTGCTGTATTGTGTTGTGCTGTACTGTATTATGCTGCACTGTATTGTGTTGTGCTGTATTGTGTTGTGCTGTATTGTGTTGTGCTGTACTGTATTATGCTGCACTGCATTGTGTTGTGCTGTACTGTATTATGCTGCACTGTATTGTGTTGCGCTGTATTGTGTTGTGCTGTACTGTGTTGTGCTGTACTGTGCTGTACTGTGTTGTGCTGTACTGTGCTGTACTGTGCTATACTGTGTTGTGCTGTACTGTGTTGTGCTGTACTGTGTTGTGCTGTACTATGTTGTGCTCTATTGTTACTTTGTGAAATTGTCCTTTCTTTGTCAAACCGTTGAATGTTTTCAGTTTCACTGAGCTTATTTACAGTCACACCTGCACACTCACACATCTCTCACACAGTGTGTGTTTTATGAGGACATGCGGTGGGAGGGAACACCCTGGGAGGGGTGTGTGTGTGCGTGTGTGTGTGTGTGTGTGTGTGTGTGTGCGTGTGTGTGTGTGTGTGTGCGTGTGCGTGTGGGTCTCTGTAGGAGTCGAAGGTGCCCGAATCGTCCTCTACTGCTGACCGGAGAGATTTAATTTGGTTTAATTTAGCAGCTTACCAACTAGAGAGAGAGAGAGAGAGAGAGAGAGAAGAGAACGGGAGCTGAGAGAGGTAGAGAAAGGGGGGTGGAGCAGAAAGAGAGAGTGAGCGAGAGAAAGAGGAGGAGCTGAGAGTGCGAGGAGCAGAGAGAGAGGAGTGTGTTAGTGTAGGCGGTGTAGAGTCAGAGTGCAGGCTGGGTCAGTGTTAGCGTTAGAAGGCTGCAGTCAGTTTTGGAGTGTTTGTTTCAGTGTTAGTGAGTTTGAGTGTATTTTGGTGTTAGTGTGTGTTAGTGTTGAGGTGTGTTAATGAGTGTTAGTGTGTGTTAATGAGTGTTAGTGTGTGTTAGTGTTGAGGTGTGTGAGTGAGTGTTACTGTTGGTACGGTGTTAATGACTGTACTGTGCTGTGCTGTGTTGTAGTGACTGAGTGAGTTAGTGTTGAAGTGTTAGTGCTGTCGTGTTACTGAGTGTCAGTGTTGGTGTGTTAGTCTGTTGTAGTGATAGTGTGTGTTACAGTGCTGCGGAGTGTTGCAGTGTTAGTGAGTGTTGTAGTGTCAGTGTGTTGTAGTGTCAGTGTGTTGTAGTGTCAGAGTGTTACAGTGTCGTGATGAAGCTGCTCAGACTGAGTTGTGTGGACGGTTCCGCTCTGGTTCTCTGTCTGATTGTTCCGCTGAGCTGCTGCTTTAATATGGACTCTCGATTCGCTGTGCTCAAACGCTCTGACTCTCCCGGCAGCCTGTTCGGCCTCTCGGTGGCGCTACACCAGCAGACCATCAGTCGGAACAGATACCTGTGAGTACATTCACTCATTCATCCTCTCTTTTTGCGCAGGGGTCTGTGGGGTCTGGGAGGGGGGGTCTGCGGGGTTTGGGGGTCAGTATGGTTTGAGGGGGTCTGTGGAGTGTGGGGCAGGGGTTTGTGGGGTTTGTGGGGTTTGTGGGGGTCTGTGAGAGTCTGTGGGGTGGGTGCTGCACACTGTAGAGCAGGTGCAGTGCAGAGTTAATGATTACAGAGTTATTATAGTCACTCAGGTTGTATTTAGAGACGGATGATGTGGCAGAAATATTACGATACTTCACGCTACACGACATGCAGCTCAACAGTTACTTTTTCTGAGCTTTGATGAGCTGGAACAGACAGAAAGGAACCAGCAGTGCCAGGTTTAAAAATACCATCAAACACTCTGAATACAGCGATTTTATTCAGTGTTCAGTCACTGCAGTGAATCCAGTTCAACAGGACTGATGTTGAACACTGTATAATCAAACATGCAGCAGCTTGATTGAGTTTATTTGATGATTAAATTATATGAAACACTGAAATCGCTGAAAAACACCATACAGTGCAGAGCAGGCCGACTATCTGTGAGTTCGTTTCTGAGTCTCTCGATTAAAATAATCTGTTTGATATTGTGCTGCAAGTCTGTGTAAACTTACAGTAAATGTTCTTTATGTTGTAAAGTTTGTTCCATAATAACATCGCTAAACATCCATAACTAAATTCACAACACACAGAAAGTTTCACATTAAAGTAAAATATCATTTCAGCCTCTCAGAGCGAGTTTCCGTGTCTTGTGTGTGTGTGTGTGTGTGTGTGTGTGTGTGTGTAAGGTGTGTCTGAGTGAATGATTAATGCTCTTTCATGTTCAGAGGGACTGTAAACGGTCTGCCGTAGCTGATTGTGTTCTCCTGATTGCAGTACAAACACAGATCAGCGTTCAGCTTCAGAACGTCTCCTTTAGAACCCAAACATGAGAACATTTCACAGTTAAAAAAAATAAATTAAAAATATATTTTTGGAATATATTTTTTGCAGTGTATAAAAATGGAAAAATGCATGTGTGAAATATATTTTTGAAACACATTTATCAGTATTAGTTATTATCTGTGTTCAGTTGTGTGTAATGAAGGTTCCAGATGTAGCTAAACGTACTGACTGTGATCTGCACTGTACTTTACATTAACCATGTACGTCTGCAGTCAGACTCTCACACACAATGTATTTCACATAAACAAGCTATCAGATCATAACTACATTTTCACAGAGTATCAATACCCACAACACTCGCTTCTGTCCTGTTAAAGGATCATCTGATCAGATTTAAAATGAAGATACTGGAACACAAATTCATCTCTAAAGGTATCAGACAGTGAAGAGCGTCAGACAGGATTCTGGATATTTTCATACATTTTCAAAATGATTTAATAAACACATTTACACACAGTTATTTTTTCTATGTGTAAATTTTTTTCCATACATTTTAAAATAGATGTATTTTAAAATATATTTGGTTAATATGGCGAAATGCTCTGAAATACATTTTAGTGATTGGACTGTATTTCAAATATGTGAAAATACATGTTCTTCTTTACTTTTCTTTTAGAGAAGTGAATATTTTTTGCTGTTGCTTTCGAGTGGAATACCAAAATATCCAGTAAACAACATCACTTTAAACAATAAACAGAACATAAACAGTGACTGTGAGTATAATAGAGGCGAGTGTGTGTGTGTGTGTGTGTGTGTGTGTGTAGAGTCGCTCTGTCTGTTATTGTATCTACAGAGGAAATGGTTCACCACCTTTTTTTCTTCTGATACCAATATTAAAACAATGAGTATCGTCCAATAACGATGACGATAACGATACTAATCCGCTGATTCTCCTGTAAAAACTACAAAGCTTTAAAATGGAGTTTTAATTAAAGCTCTTCAGTTCAGCTGAGATGTAAACCGTGTCTGTCTGTTCTCGCCTCCTACAGTCACATGGTTCTCTAAACGTTAGCGTGAAAGAGCTACTCTTTCCCTAGAGAGCCGTTTTTGTAAATGAGATGTGGGAGTGAAGGTTCACATAATGCACAGGTTCCTTATCAGCCAGGGTTCTCACTAGAACTTTTAAACCATTAGTGGTTGTTTAAGCATTTAAAATGAACTTAAAATCAACTTGAAGGTTCTTTCAGGGACCAAAAGTGGTTCTTCTATGGCCCTGTGTAAAGAACAGTCTTTGTTGTTGTTGAGAGTGTGCAGTGATGCTCTAGATCATCTATGTTGAAGGTGGGAGGAACTTTTGGGAACTTACAGCTGCTTCAGGGGGTTTTGTGTTCAGACTGTTTTGAAACATGTTTTTGGTTGTTGTTGTTGTGTTGTTGTTGTTGTGTTGTGGTCTAATGATGAAGGAAGGCAGAGCGCTAACGGTACTGCTAACAGAACCAGAATCAGATTTATTGGCCAAGTACATTAACACACACAAGAAATTTGGTTCCAGCTGTTGGCCTCTCTCTAGTATTGATAGTCAGACATTGTACGTAATATTTACAGACAATACACGATGTACACCTATACAGACACACAACATACTCTATACACAGTGCACAAACAATATACAAAACTACATAAGGACAACAATATACAGACAATGTATTATTTACATATAACTTACAGACAATACAGAACATACAATATACGCAACATACAGATTATACAGGGACAGGCAGAACACAAGTGTGTGTCTCAGTGTAAATGACAGTGTGTATGTGTGTGAGTCTCACTGCAGCCATATAACTGTAATAACTGTGTTCAGATCATCATTACAGTGGAGAGACTGGATCACTCAGACCACAGAAATGACCCATCAGATCAGAAGCACAACAAGCTAACGGCTAAAGTTAGCCTGGATGTCTAGACACTGTAGTGAGCCACTATAGGGTGTGGGAACTCTGACAGGCCACGCATGGTGGGTTCACCCCCTCCTACAAAGGGACTTCCTGTTGTCTAAATGTTGTTTGTGTCAGTGTAAAGATGTGTTGTGTTGGTGTTTGTGTTGCTCTGTGTGTGGATGTGGGTTGTTGGTGTGTTGTGTTGTGTTTGTGTTGCTCTGTGTGTGGATGTGGGTTGTTGGTGTGTTGTGTTGTGTTTGTGTTGCTCTGTGTGTGGATGTGGGTTGTTGGTGTGTTGTGTTGTGTTTGTGTTGCTCTGTGTGTGGATGAGGGTTGTTGGTGTGTTGTGTTGGTGTTTGTGTTGCTCTGTGTGTGGATGTGGGTTGTTAGTGAGTTGTGTGTTGGTGTTTGTTGCTCTGTGTGTGGATGTGGGTTGTCAGTGTGTTGTGTTGGTGTTTGTGTTGCTCTGTGTGTGGATGTGGGTTGTTGGTGTGTTGTGTTGGTGTTTGTGTTGCTCTGTGTGTGGATGTGGGTTGTTAGTGAGTTGTGTGTTGGTGTTTGTGTTGCTCTGTGTGTGGATGTGGGTTGTCAGTGTGTTGTGTTGGTGTTTGTGTTGCTCTGTGTGTGGATGTGGGTTGTTAGTGAGTTGTGTGTTGGTGTTTGTGTTGCTCTGTGTGTGGATGTGGGTTGTCAGTGTGTTGTGTGTTAGTGTTTGTTGCTCTGTGTGTGGATGTGGGTTGTTAGTGTGTTGTGTTGGTGTTTGTGTTGCTCTGTGTGTGGATGTGGGTTGTTAGTGTGTTGTGTGTTGGTGTTTGTGTTGCTCTGTGTGTGGAAGTGGATTGTTGGTGTGTTGTGTTGGTGTTTGTGTTGCTCTGTGTGTGGATGTGGGTTGTTAGTGTGTTGTGTTGGTGTTTGTGTTGCTCTGTGTGTGGATGTGGGTTGTCAGTGTGTTGTGTTGTGTTTGTGTTGCTCTGTGTGTGGATGTGGGTTGTTGGTGTGTTGTGTTGGTGTTTGTGTTGCTCTGTGTGTGGATGTGGGTTGTTAGTGTGTTGTGTTGGTGTTTGTGTTGCTCTGTGTGTGGATGTGGGTTGTTAGTGTGTTGTGTTGTGTTGGTGTTTGTGTTGCTCTGTGTGTGGATGTGGGTTGTTGGTGTGTTGTGTTGTGTTTGTGTTGCTCTGTGTGTGGATGTGGGTTGTTAGTGTGTTGTGTTGGTGTTTGTGTTGCTCTGTGTGTGGATGTGGGTTGTTAGTGTGTTGTGTTGGTGTTTGTGTTGCTCTGTGTGTGGATGTGGATTGTTGGTGTGTTGTGTTGGTGTTTGTGTTGCTCTGTGTGTGGATGTGGGTTGTTAGTGTGTTGTGTTGGTGTTTGTGTTGCTCTGTGTGTGGATGTGGGTTGTCAGTGTGTTGTGTTGTGTTTGTGTTGCTCTGTGTGTGGATGTGGGTTGTTGGTGTGTTGTGTTGGTGTTTGTGTTGCTCTGTGTGTGGATGTGGGTTGTTAGTGTGTTGTGTTGGTGTTTGTGTTGCTCTGTGTGTGGATGTGGGTTGTTGGTGTGTTGTGTTGGTGTTTGTGTTGCTCTGTGTGTGGATGTGGGTTGTTGGTGTGTTGTGTTTGTGTTGCTCTGTGTGTGGATGTGGGTTGTTAGTGTGTTGTGTTGGTGTTTGTGTTGCTCTGTGTGTGGATGTGGGTTGTTAGTGTGTTGTGTTGGTGTTTGTGTTGCTCTGTGTGTGGATGTGGGTTGTTAGTGTGTTGTGTTGGTGTTTGTGTTGCTCTGTGTGTGGATGTGGGTTGTTAGTGTGTTGTGTGTTGGTGTTTGTGTTGCTCTGTGTGTGGATGTGGGTTGTTAGTGTGTTGTGTGTTGGTGTTTGTGTTGCTCTGTGTGTGGATGTGGGTTGTCAGTGTGTTGTGTTGTGTTTGTGTTGCTCTGTGTGTGGATGTGGGTTGTCAGTGTGTTGTGTTGTGTTTGTGTTGCTCTGTGTGTGGATGTGGGTTGTTAGTGTGTTGTGTTGTGTTGGTGTTTGTGTTGCTCTGTGTGTGGATGTGGGTTGTTGGTGTGTTGTGTTGGTGTTTGTGTTGCTCTGTGTGTGGATGTGGGTTGTTGGTGTGTTGTGTTGTGTTTGTGTTGCTCTGTGTGTGGATGTGGGT